GATGGAGGTTTCTTCTCACATCTCGAGCCACATGGGCCTGTTGCTGTGGGTGCTGTGGCTGGGGGAGAGGCTGGTGACAGCTTCGGCTGAGGACATGGCAGGGGACCAGTCTCCATGGGCAGGGCTGGAGGTTGCCTCTTTCACTGCTGGTTCTTCATTTTTATTGTCACATCATTAAAACAGTTAAAAGGTGATTACTGACTTGTTCTGCTTTGCAGCAGGATTAAAGTGCTCCAGAATCTTCTGCAGATGGCACAGGTCATCCTTTTGGAAAGGCGAGGCAGAGCTCGAAGCTGTGGCACGTGCTCCTTCCCTCCACCCTCAGTGCCTGTGGCACTGGCGGAGCCTCTGTGGTCATAGCTGCCCGTGCTGGCACCACACTGGGCAGTGGCACCTGTGTCTTACCTGGATGCTCCTTTGCCAGGTGCAGGGAGCTCCAGAAGCACCAAACAGAGATAAATCCGTATGGTCTCCAGGCTAGGGGCTGTCTGTGAGCCACCAGGTTTGTTTGTGCTTGTTTGGAGCTTCGCCGTGCCCCTGCTGCTGCTTTGGGCTCAGCTGCCTCAGCTCTGGAAAGGCCAGGGCTGGTAGGAACTTGCTGACATTTAAGAGATGAAACTGGAGGTGCTTGGGAGAGGGGATGTCAGGGGCTAAGGAGTCTTCAGCTTGATGAAGGGAAACCCAGGGTGACGCTGTGGTTGGGAGGCAGAGACCTGGTCCTTCTGGAGACGTCAGCTCGGTCCACTGACCCTTGTGCTGCTGCACGGCACCAGTGCATCGAGCCAATACCTTCTGTGCTCATCCTGCTCTGCCCTGTTCTTGGTAGGTTTTATGGTGCTTCCCAGAGATCTGAGTGTCACGAAGAGGGCCAAGGGGTAGGTCTGGGTGCTGGGAGCAGGGACAGGAGCAAGTTGCCAGCAGCTGAGACTGCCCCTGCTCTGGCACACCCACACAGGCATTTTGGCCAAAGCAGCCGTGTTGTGCCTCCTCCCCAGGTGGTGCTGGGATGGGAAGGCCCTTTTGGTGCTGGTGCTTTCTCTGCAGCTCCTGGGGCATCAGTCTGGATTGTCCTGAGCTGACTCTGAGGGGATTTACAGCTGGGATTCGTTCAGCTCCTTTGGAAGGGTTGTGGCTTTTTTGTGCGTTCCAATTTCCAGCTGGACAGGTGGGGTTCTCGGTCCCCTGCTCAGTCCCTGGTTCCCACTGCAGCTCTCCCAGGCAAGTGCCCTCCTATGAGGCACAGTGCATTGCAGCAAAAGGCCATGGATTCTGCTGTGCATCCTGCTGAGGGGCTCTGCATGCCTCTGGAGGGCCATGCATCCTGCTGAGGGGCTGTGCATCCTGCCGTGCATCCCTCTGAGGGGCTGTGCATCCCTCCATGCGTCCCTCTGAGGGGCTGTGCATCCCTCCATGCGTCCCATTGTGGTGCCATGCATCCCACCATGGATCCTGCTGTGGGGCTGTGCATCTGGCCGTGCATCCCACCGTGGGTTTGTGCATCCCAGCAGGTGCCTGCCCGTCACCTGCAAACCCTCATCCACTTCCTGCCCAACCTGTTTGGGGCACTTTGCCTCCCAGGGGAGCCACCCTTTGAAATAACAAAGCAGCAGACCTGCTGTGGCTCTGGTTTGGAGAAACATTAACGAAGGGAGGTGTTGGGGCTGGGGAGCCATGGCTGGGCTGGCACTCGCCCACTCTTGCTGGGCGCCCATGAAGAAGTCTGGCTGGGGGAGACAATGGATTTCTTATGGCGTGTGCTGGTGAGTGCTGTGCGACCCGGGCTCCTGGGCAGAGCTCTGCCCTGCTGTGCTCCATCCTCAGTGGCTCCTGCCTGGTGCAGGAAACCTTAAAAGGGGGAGGGAAAAAAGGGAAACCTCCAAAGCAGGCACTTGCTGGCTACGCTGCAGCTTCTGCTCTGAGTGCTCCTGGCCCATGGGCACCCGCTGCCCCCTCTCGGCCCCCGGGTACAGACCCAGTGTCTTGCCTGGAGCGATGGTGAGGGGTCCCGGGCTGCTCGGGGCTGAAGCCCTGTGCTGTGGCTGTCCATCCCCTCTCAGTGCTCAGTGGTGCAGGGTGAGGCCCCGTGAGCAGCATGGGGACAGCACCTGGGCCGTTTTGGGTTTAGTACTCTGGGTTTGTGAGGTTGTTAGGACAAGCTGCTGGTGGGTTTCCTCTGCGAGGTGAGCAGAGCTGTCCTCTCCAGTGATGCCTTTGGCTGCACAGAAGAGGCAGGCCGGGGTTCAGTTTGGAGCAGTCCCGGTGACCCCAGCCGGGTGAGTGGAGCTGTTCCTGTGGCTGGGCCCTCACTGGGGACATTGCATCCTGCTGGGTTTCACAAGGCTGTAATTGTCTCCACTATAATTACCAAAATATTTGTGGCCGGTAAAGTTGGCTTTAAGCATGCGTAAATCCCTGAGGGGCGCAGACTGTCTGCTTGGTTAAGTGTGTGTACGCCTCTTCTGCTGGCACTTGCTGCAGCAGGTGGATCCAGTGCTGCTGTGCAGTTTGGTTCTCTGGCTCTGGCTGCTGGCAGAGTGGGACCTGGAAACTATTTTAATTGACTCAGAGAGCATTTGTCCATCACAGAGACCTGAAGATAAACCAGATCTAGATCGAGCTTAAATCAAGAAAAAGCCTTTTTAAAGTGCTTCCAGTTTTGGGCACAGAGCTCTTCTGAGCCCAGTGTTTATTTTTCCTGCTGTAGGTGCTGTGGATGAAACCAGGGTGTAGTCTAAAGCTTGAAACACAGCCAGGGCTGCTTCCGAGCCATGGCAGTGCCCGCCTGTGCTGGCAGAAGCTGTGCCAATACCAGCTGGTGGCACCGAGAGAAGCCACTGGGCTGCTCCTGACGTAAATCTAACCTTTGCTCACCACGTTTATTGAAAGCTAATCTCTCTGGGCTTTTCTTTTGTCTGCTTTTATTTTCTTCTTCACTCTGTTTTTTTCTCTCTTTTTTGTCTTTTGGGAAGCTCGGTTCCCATTGAGTGGCCAGGAGCAAACACAGGTTAGGGGGGAGGATGGGGGCGAGGAGGGATCAGGCTGCTGCGTCATGTCTCCAGAAAAGCCACTTACTAGTTTACTGGGAGTGCCCCAATATTTACAGCTGTAGTTTGACTGGATAATTTATTTGCATGTACTTGAGAGCAGGAAAAGCCGGACAAGGGATCAGGATCATCCAGCTGAGGTTGGGCGGTTGCCATGCCCAAGGGGTGACCCTGCCAGTGCCTGGCCAGCTGGGGGCTGGGGCGTGCTGGCAGAGCACCGACTCCGTGCGGCTCTGGGGGCTGGTGCGACCTGTGTCTGCTGCAGCTGAGCATCACACCGGGACCCAGGGGAAGGGCAGCCCGGGCTTGCCAAGCTCCAGAGCAGCTCAGCGGCGCAGTGGCCATCGCCCGGACCAGTGCAGGTACACCAAGGCAGGCACTGGGTTCTCTGAAGCACCCGTCTGCCCGTGGAGAGTTGTGGCTGAGGACAGACGTGGCTTGAGCGCTGATTCTGGAGACAGGGCGATGGGCTCTCCCTGGACTGGATTTGTCATCCTGAGCCCCCTGCACTGTTTCTGAAGGCATGGGTGACGTGTGCTCTGCGTGTCCTGCGTGCCCTGCGGTGCCTTGGGCTGCTCACGGGGCTGGGGACGAGGCTGAGCCCCCGAGCTGGGCACCGGCATGGCCAGGGGAGCAGCACCAGCTCCCCGCTGCAGGGACGGGCTGCTCTCCAGAGGAGCCACGCAGGTTTTTTAATTGGAGCCCCAGCTAATCTCTTTAGTTCATTTGGCAAGTAGGCCATTAACCCTGCACGGGCAGCCCAACCACGCCGGCACTGCTGGCGTTCCCCCAGCCGGTGAGAGGCAGAGCCCAGGGCTTGCACCTCGCAAGGTAAGGATTGTGGAGGGGCTGCTGAAGGTGTCTCATTTGCCAGAGTATTTATTTGCTTTTTTTGGATCGATGGGTCTGGGTCTGTTTCTTTTCAAAATGAAAGTTTTTAGCTGCTGGTTTGTGTGCCCAGGCCCCGTCCTGCAGGGCCCTGCAGAGTCGCAGCAGGATCGTGGGGACTGGGGCACACATACCCTGTCCATCTGCTAAGGGTGACTGGCTCTGCCCAACGTCCTCCACAAACCCCACGCCTGTGGCACTGCCAGGCACCCTGCAGCACTTGGCAGCCATCTGGGTGTTCTCTCTGCCTGGTCCCTGAGATCCATCACTGCTGTGCAGAGGCGAGCAGCACACGGTGGAGCAGCAGAGCATGGCCGCAGTGGATCTTCCCCTTCCCCTTCCCCTTCCCCTTCCCCCTGCCTGGCTGCCCTGTGCCTGGCCAGGCAGGATTGCACCTTGGTCCCACTCTCCCTGTGGCACATGTAGCCCCTGTTGCTGCTGCAGAGAGCCTGGAAACACAGACTTTAGAGAGCTGAGAAAACAGCTAGGGAACAAAAGGAACCCAAGGAGGTGGCCCAGCTGATGGTGCCAGCTCTGCTGCGACGGGCAGAGGAGGTGACTGAGGAGCTATTACCAGTCCTACCCAGAGCAGGGGCTGGGTGTCACTGGGGATGGTGAATGGCAGCGGTGGGGCCGGAGCTCTGAGTGGGGCTGGACGGGAGCTGCCGTGCCAGGGAGCGGGACCAGTGCCGCAGTGCACTCGGGCTGACTCCTCAGGCCCTTTTGGGAACGACATGCAGAGCAGGAGTTGTCAGGGCAGTAGGGAGCTGCTCCCTGTCCCTGCTCGGTGTGCTCCCCACGGCTGCAGCAGGGGCGCTTGCTGTGGGAGGGTCACCAGCCCTGGGAGCCGGGGGGGCTGCAGGGTCCGTCCCTGCCTGGCACGGCTGGACGGGGTGCCTCGGAGGCACACACTGTTGGTTGTGTCACTTCTTCCCACTCCTGTTGAGGGCCACAGTGCCCGGTACCAGGTGGGGGGGTCCGATGTCCCTGCCTTGCTGTGTGTTGGGCTGTCTTGTCTCGTGTCTGTTTCACTTAAACAGGAGGTTTCCTTCTTTTCTTTTTCAGTCTGCAGAATTCTTTGAAATGCTGGAAAAAATGCAGGTGAGGAGCAGTGTGTGTTGCCAGTAACACCCCGCAGAGCCTGCAAAGAGGAGGTCCCAAGCATCTCCTACATTTGACATGCTGGCAGGCCTTCCTTGTACCACCACAGTGTGGTGTGACTTGCTGCCGAAGTCCCCAGCACCGTGGGGGGGACATGGCCAGTGCCTCCAGCTCAGACCCTGTGGAAGAGCCGCACAGAAACACCCGGCGTGTGGCCGGAGAGCAGAGGTGTCCTCAGAGGCTTCTCCTGAGGCTATTCCCCATTGCCCCGAGCGGTTTTGCAGAAGGAGGTTGGGGGACGTGCTCTGACACATGGTCCTGTGGCTCCCTGGTAGCACCAGGATGCTGCTGTGCAGAGGGCAGGCTCTGGACTGAGCACGGCTGGGCCCAGCACTGTCCCCATACCCTTGGGTCTGCACGAGGCGTTCTCTTGTCCCACACTGAAACACATCAGCATCTGCCCAAGGAGGGTCCAGGAGGGACCAGGGTGTCCTCTGGCACGTGCCTTGTCCCTGCAGGACAGCAGTGCAGGGATTTCCTTTTGGGAGCCCATCCTGGAGAAATTAAGATGTAGCTGGAGTGGGATGTGGGGCATTTTGTGTTTGATGCTGTGCCAGCACCTGGGAAGTGCTCGTCCCTGCCTCGCATTTAGACGTTGTCAGCACAGTGCCACTGGGTCCTACCACAGCCCCACCAACCATTTTGGCCATGTACGACAGGGTCTGTCCTGGCACGCCAGCAGCTCTGCCCGGCTCGTCTCCCGCAGAACCCCCCTCCTTTCAAACCCCTTCCCTTCATGCCACTTGTGTCAGAGTGATTTCCCTGTAGCAAAATACCCTTGTGGTTTTGTCTGTGTGGTTGAAAAGTTAATTATTCAATCTGTTCCTTTTGTTCCAAACAGGCACCAAAACTGGAGGAACAGAGAACTGGAAGCCAAAAACATAAGGTTAGTTGAATTTCGTTTCTTATGTGGAACTTTTCAATTCCCCTCCACTTATCTCAGGGCTTTAATTGTGTCTAGTCAAAGACAGTCGCTCACAGGACTAAAAAGGATTTAAATGTTTTCTAAAAACAAGGCACTGATTGAATTGCAAAGATGAGAGACTGTGCCTGTAAATCCCTAATCCAGCTTTATGTCCAGACCTGTGTTTCTGCGGGGAGCTGTGTAGGACGATGGGGTTCTGTGTGGAGCTGAGAAGGTTACACCAGTAATGGGGACCCCTTTGGAAAGGGGCTGACCGTGCTGCAGAGCTTTCCTGCAGACCCTGAGCAGGGAGGGGTACCCAGGCCAGGTCCCTGGGCACATGGTGGCACCACTGCCCAGGCCAGTGCCCATCACCACACGCGGTGCCCTCGCCTGGCATGAGCGTTGCTCTCTGTCACTGCCCGGTGCCAGGTGCCCGGTGCGGGTGCTGGGGCTGGGGGCACAAGTGCAGCGGGTGCCTGGGAGTGCTCCCGGGGTGGGGTGTGCTGGGGAACAGATGGTCACACGCTGTGTTTTCATTCTTTTTCCAGGAAGACTACATCCCCTACCCCAGCATTGATGAGGTGGGTGCCCTGAACCACCCCGAATGCCTTTCCAAAACTGCCGGTCACAAGGGAATTTGGTGGAGATCCTGTTTCTGAGAGGAGCTGCACAAAGCACATTCCCCTTCCCCACTTCTGCAGCTGGTGCTTTCCCTCAGTAGCCTGTGCCCTCTTCTAGGAGAGAGAGAAGACGTTTCAGTGGGGGGGTTGGATTTGCCCCGTGGTGCCATGACTGGGGGCTGCTGTGGGAAGGGGCAGGGTGGGGCAGGACACAGGGCAATGAGTCCCTGCACCCTGCGTCCACACCCCTGGACCCCTCATGGGTGTGTATCTCTGCAGATCCTCGAGAAGGGCAGCCCGTACCCACTGATCATCCTCCCCCAGTTTGGGGGGTACTGGATTGAAGACCCGGAGAACCTCGGCACACCCACCTCGTCCGACAGCAGCATCTGCGAGGAGGAGGAGGAGAACCTCAGCCCCAGCACCTACGGCTACAAGCTGGAGTGCAAAGGAGAGGCCAGAGCCTACAGGAAGCATTTCCTGGGGAAGGTGGGTGCCCTTGCCAGCAGTGGCAATTGCTTGGCTGAAAACTGCACACACCCCCAAGAAAAAAAGGATGTTCTAAAATTCTAAGAAAAATGCACAAATTTTTGCAACATTCCTCATGCAAGGAGTGGAGGGGACTGGTGAGTGACCTTCCATGGCAGTGGTGGCCATGGACACGGCCTCTGCCCCCAGTTCCGTGGCTGGCAGGACCTCCCCAGGCCCACGGGTGGGCACAGCCAGCTCAGCGTGCCCTGTGTGCAGGGACCTGGGGCTCAGCCGGACTCGGGGCTCCTGGCGTGGTGGCCGCCTGCCCGCCTGTCCTCTTGCTCCCAGTCTCATAATCCTCTTTGTCCCTCTGCACAAGGCTGAGAGCAGGGTGCTAAAGTCCATGGGCAGAGGGATTAAAACCCTGGTCCCCACGAGGAGGGGGTGTGGGTGCATGTCCCCAGGGGGTGGGAGGGTGTCGGGGTGGCAGGTGAGTCCTCAGCTCCTGGTCGGGGTGCAGGGCAGTGTCCTCGCCATCGGTGAGCTGCCTCCCTCTCTGCTAATCTGCTCTTTTCTATTTTTAGGATCATTTAAATTTTTATTGTACAGCCAGCAGCCTTGGAAATCTGATCCTTTCCATTAAGTGTGAGGAGGCAGATGGCACTGAATATTTAAGGATTATACTCAGGTATGGAAAAAGAAAGCTTTGTTGAACAAAATGTTTCTCTCTGGGAGTCCTGTTTTGTTTCCACAGTAAATGGGAGAGGGGGGCTGGCAGCCCTGGCTGTGGCAGAGAGGGGCTCGGGGTGGGATGGGAAGCAGCAGCATCATCCTTTAACTGTTTCTGTGCTGAGACTGCCCGACCCCCATAACGAACAGGAGACTTTGATCCATTGCTAAACCCTCTGAAACCACGTGTAAACCTCCCTGTGACACGGGATAACACCAGCCACATCTATCGCCGTCCCTCTGTAAGCTGACAAGTCCCAGTGTGCCTCAGCTGCTGTGTCATTTCCCTCCAAACTATGAATATTTTAAGAGCTGCAGAGATGAGAAGAAAAATTGAGCCTTTGCTTACTAACCAGACCCCACAAATTCTGCAGAACATTGTTTCCCATAGCCAGTGGGGTGAGGGGTGGGGCTGCAGCTGATGCCTGTGCCCTAGACCCTCCCTCATATCTGCTCAGTTCTGTCTCTTTGCTAGGTCCAAAGTGAAGACGGTGCATGAAAGGATCCCTCTGGCAGGATTTAGCAAACTCCCCAGTATCCCCCAGATTGCAAAGGTAAGGCGCAGGGCTGGGCTGGGGTACTTGCAGCAAAGCCCTCCCTGCTGTGCCTAGTGCCTTGGGCAGCGCTGGGTGGCATTGGGCAGTGTTGGGTGGTGCTGGGTGGCGTTGAGCAGTGTTGGGCAGCAGTGCCTGGGCTCTTGGGTCCAGGGGCACTTACTGAGTAGTGTGCTGGCCCTGCTGTTGGTTTCCTGCTGGATCCAGGGAGGTCACTGGTTGATATCTGGGGGATGAGGTGAGGAGGTGGGAGCACCTTTGACCCATGGAGACCCCTAGGACTTGTCTTGCTGCATCCTCGGTTGGGTACCAGCCAGGCCATGGGGCATCCCAGTGGGAGGGTGTAAAGAGGGGAGCTCTTGCAGTTGAAGGCTGGATTTGGCTCCTTTATAGGAGTTTGGGCAGGACAGGGGTACCTGCCCCGTGCGCCCCGGGAGCCGGCACTGACTGCTCTTTCCCCTTGCCCACAGGCCTTCTGCGATGACGCCTCCGGGCTGAAGTTTAACCCGGTTCTGTACCCCAAGGTGAGGTAACTTACCCCAAGTCAGTTTAGTATTCAGCACTGAAGGCCAGACAGGGTTAATTCTCCCCTTTTCTCCAAGATCCAATAGCTACTTTGATACAGAGCATGGATGTTTGTACTGCATCTTCCAAGCTCTCTGCCTTTGCACCCAGCTGCACGGGGGATGTGCGCAGAGCAGCGGTGACGGGCCATGCAAGCATCTGAGCAGCAGTTAGCTCACGGCCATCTGATGGCATGTGCAGGCCACCGATTCACTCTGTCAACTGGCCACCAAGGACTGATGGCACCTGGGTATTAATCTGCCATTGGATCATGGGGATGGAGAGAAAGGTGACTGTGGGGCATAAACCCATGCTGGATCTTGATTTAATGCCCTAAACCCGGTGAGGTGGGTTGAGCCTGTGCTCGAGAAGCCCTTCAGGAAGAGATGCAGAGGTGGGTGGGTCACTGTGGGGGATGGAGTGCTTCAGCTGGTGACAGTCCCTGCTGGTGACGTGCTGGGGCTGACTCGCTGCCTGCACCGGGGTCACTTCTCCTCGTGTGCGCTCTTGTGCTGCCATAGAGACCCGCTCCTGGGGAGCTGCAGAGCAAATCTATCACTTTAAAATACCCTTTATGTGAAGACCTTTCCTGTGTGCAGGCACAGCAGTCAGTTATAAACCAGTTCCAGCACCATTTGATGTCAAACCGGTTCTGCTCATCCCTTGGTATTATTGGTGTTGCAATCAAACCCTTGTCTGGAGGTTTGAGAGCAGCTGATGCCCAGCTGGGGAAGATGAATGTCCCTGACTCTATCCCCACAGAGCAGGGCTGGGACCACAGAGCTGGGGCTCTCGGGGAACTGCCTCTCTTTGCACCTAAAAGGCCCCAAGCTTCCTGCAGAAAATCTGCTAGAGGTTGGGGCTCCCCTGACCCCCTGCCACGCTTGGGTGCTGGGGCCACAGCTCGTGCCAACTGGAAGCCCACAGGCATCCAGGCAGACTGGAGGAGGCTGCAGGGACACTGATAACCAAAACTGGGGCCACTGCTGAAAACTGCTTAATCATGTGGAAATTTGATTTCTACACCCCTTCTGCTACCTGGGCATCCGTGGCCCCCTGCTCTGCAGCTCCGGTGGGCACTGCCCCGTGCCACGCTGGCAGCAGTGGTGAGCACGCTGAGCAGAGCCCTGAGCCAGCTGGGCTGACTCTTCTGGATGTTGTGTTCTGAACTGCCAGCTGCAGTCATGCATATTTTGTTTTACTGCAGGCGTCCCAGATGATAGTGTCTTATGATGAACACGAGGTCAACAACACGTTCAAGTTCGGCGTGATCTACCAGAAGTTCAGGCAGGTGAGTGGTCCCTGCGCTGTGCCGTGGAGCACATCCCTGCTGGCTGGAGGGCTGCAGCTCACAAGTGCAAATTCAGCCTGCAGTTAAGCCTGCCACGTGTAGCACCTTGTGTTAGCGGGTGTCCTCACTAATAACACATTTCTTATGGCTTGGATATTTCCTTGACTCATTAAAAAAATGATGTGACTGAAAAAATTCAGGATGGAAATCAGCCCACAAGCTGCTGTAGGGACAAGCGGATGTGAAAACGGATTTTAGCAGGCATGTATTTTAATCAGATATATGTTTAGACAGAGAAACAGCCACATTTGTCTTGGAGGACTGTGGGCTATGAAGACACACGTTTGTCAAAATGCTGTCATTAGCCCGGGGACTCCGGATGGGGAGCGCGGAGGCAGCTGAGTCTTATAACTCACCAAAGATTATTCTGACAGTTGCTCTAATTATCTTTACATATTGCATTTTATTTTGGATTGAGTAACTTATGTGAGACCATAATTAAGGTCTCATTGTTTGGAAATATAGCACACAAGGGATGATTAAGACTTGGATTTTCCAATGGAGTAGTGGTTTGTGTTTTGGTATTTCCAGAGCGTTGTCCTAAGTCCTTGCTGTTGCTCAGGAGTCACTCTCAGCAACTTCACCTTCGGGTGTTTTGGTGGCTGAGGGCCTGTGAATGGCCCGTGGCCGGTGCCAGCTGGGGAGCAGAGGCAGGGAGCAGAGGCAGGGAGCAGAGGCAGGGAGCAGCCCGTGGCTCTCCACAGCACCCAGGGACGAGGTGCTGGTCATGTCCCCAGGATCCTGTGTATGGGGCAGGAGGTGGCAGGAGGTGGTCAGGCAGGGAGAGGTGGCCCAAGCAGGAGTCACCGTCAGAGCTGGGGCAGGAAGGGTTCCGTTCTCTGTGCCGTGGCACTTTGGGTGATACCAAGGTTTGGTTTTAAGAAGATGCTGAGAGCAGGGCGACGTGCAGAAGGCACATTTTGAGGGGACCTTTCACACTGGTGGTGTCCTTGGTTGTTGTGTCCATACCACCCGCAGTGCTGGGAGGTCCCCGAGGGCACAGGGCAGCTGCTGGGGACGGTGGCCTTGGTGCTGCTCG